AAGAAAAGGACTAACCACTGGCCTAATCTTCTTATAGAGACTGTAAGTGAGTAGAGTGGGAAACTTTACAAGCATGCTGCCAATTGCATCATCTCGAACCCCCATGTCTTGAAAAAATCGTACCTTCACGATAAAGTAGGTAATAAATTGTCAACACTATCATCTAGAAAAAAAGACAGAAACCATTGAAATTTTTATTTATGAATCTATTATATATATATATTTAAGAATATATTAAGATCAATATGTGATGTGGAAGAATGGAAATAATGATAACAAAATGGAACCCATGTACAAAGTACCACTGCTAGATTTTATAGCTGCCAAGCCCATCACAAGCCTCACTCAACTGACAGAAGAAACAAATAAAGAACAGTTTTTGCATACCTTTGGCACAATAGTCATCTCCAAGTCAATACAAAACACCATTGGTTTTAAGGTAAGCATTCTCCTCATACCATCTCGGGTGATTCCATGGTAGTACAAATACTTAACAAGAGGTTTCCATTGTTCATCAATGCTACATGCCATCAACTCCGGCTTAAATGCTAGCAATCTACCAACATCCACAGTTTGAAGCCCAAATTCTTTTAGGTAATTAACCTAAAAATTACAGCTGTAACATATTAGTTTATGTATATCAGAAACAATTACAAACATACATATCAAACTAGACATTAAATCTTGACGACTTCAATCTTCCTTTATGTTTGATAGGGATATTACTGAACATCAATAAAGTAGTAAAGTATCATAAAATATGAGGATATTTCGCAACATGACTTTGAGAAATTTATTGTTAAAAATTATTGTACCTTTTGCTTCATTTCTTCCATGGTAAGGTAGCCAAGTACTTTAGGATAATCAAAAACCATTGTGCCGAAATCCTTCTGATTTAAACCCATATCTAGGTAGAACTGCACACGGTTCTTCACTTCTTCTAAGCTATAAGACAATAGTTGAGGACATCGACTCATCACAAAACCCATCCAATCCTTCCTGACTCCATTTGACTCCAAATACTCAACAATTTCATCAAGTTCCTCATTGCTGCGTTGCAGAATATTCTCTCCGGCATTCACGAGTGCAACCCCGAGATAGTCCCCTCTCACATGTATTGACTTCAACCACTCACTACGATTCCTTATGGACTCCAATTTTCCTTTTGACATTAAAATGAGCTTTGCTATCCGAGGATAGGATACTGAGTTATGCTTCAACCATCTACAGAATTGAAGAAATGAGATCAAATAAGGACCCTCCTAATTGACAGTAACTATACAGAGATTAAGCTTAATTCATAACAGTGTGATTCAACAAAGTTTTACATTGAATGTCGGATACCTAACACAAATCTTGCCTTTTATTGTGCTTGGAACCAACTATGTATTGTTTTAGGTAACTGTTTGTGAAAAATAGCTTTCTCTTCTCGTAGCTATTCCGAATACAAAATATGCTAATCCAAACAGATGCTAATATAAGTGATCCCACTAATCCAATTATTTGATTTCACAGGAACAATAAAACAAACAACTTACAAGCAGCTTCAAATAACACTAACTTATAAGTGGCACAACATCAAATATCAATCTTTGTTATTACCTGATAAGTGGCACAACTTGGGAGTTCTCAATGACAGTTTTGGCGCGTAAATTGAAGGTGGAGTGAGAATATTCAGGCAATTTTTTCATGTTAGCAGCTTCAATCATGATAAAATCAATAAAACCTTGCAACCTACTAATCAAATTAGTAGTGTAGGTAATTCCAAACTTGCCCTTCCTCATCATGGCTTCTTTGAAAACTTCCTCAGTTACTTTCCTTCGAATTTCAATAGCACGCATGATAATCTCATCATCGTCATCAATATGAGAAGTTGTTGATTGAAAAAGGGTTCGAAGAGGTGGAAGAGAAGAACCCACATCAGGGTCACTAGGGGATTGAGCATATATAGAGCCAGGGAATTGAGGGGTTCTCTTTCTAACAAGGGAAAGTTCTAAAAGTTGAACCTTTTCTTTGTGGGGCATGGAATCTTGAAGGTCACTGGGTTTTGGAATGAGTTGTTGTTGGGAAGAATCATGCTTGTTGGAAAGGTGGTGAAGAAGAAATGATGTGGATTTGGAATTGTGTTTGCGGAGAATGGGTTGTTGTTGTTGTTGTTGTTGTTTTTCATTTGGGTTTTGTTGACAGTTGAAAATGGTTGAAATTGATTTGGATTTGAGAGGGATACAAGAGCATGGAGGGAGAAGGTAAAGGTTGTATTTCTGACAGGAATAAACCATGTCTTAGTTTAAGGTTTTGAAGATTGTTAATGGCTATGGATAAGAGTTATCATTGTTGCCACCCTTCTTCACTTTCACCATTTCTATTGCCATCATAGATAGAATTGCTTCCTTTAATGAAGAAGCACTTTAATATAAAGTAAAATTTCAATTGTATCATTTAATTTGGATTATGGACAAATTATAATATTTATAAATACTCATCATAAAAATTTATACACATATATCACATTTATAATGAATAATAAACCAACCGTGTATAAACTTTATTCATAATTTAATAATACAATGTTAAAGGGAATGTTTATGCTAGGAATTTTATAAAATTGGTGTAGTTTGAGTTGTTTTTTACGGAATTGGTATAACTTTTTAAAATATTACGGGACTTGTGTAAATTTTGATGAAACAATGTATGTAATGTGTAATATTTTAATGTCGTGGATATTACCAACAATTCCTTTGGATTCGTGGATATTACCCACGATGCCTTTGGATTCTCTGGATATTACCCTTGATTTCCATAGAAATCATCGTTCTAAAACACGAAAACTATTTATCGTAAATAGGGTCCCCGAATTCCACCTAAATTGTGGATAGTGTGCACGATATCTTTCCCACTTCAATCACCATAAACTAATATTTCATGAAAGCATTCATCACAAGTGAACATATCATCAAACACAAACATATAAGAACATAATCTCAATTTACTTCACTTCATTCATTATCTGAATGCAACTATATTAAGAACATATCATATTATTAACATTATCATTATTAACATATCATGTTTTCTATTATGAACATTATCATTATCACATACAAATGAGTTATGAACATATCACTTCATTCCTTTTAATTATTTTTGAGGAGGGATTTATTGACTTCACGAGTAAGTTTTTTAATCTTACTCTTCATCTTAGCCATCAATTATAGGAAAATACAATGGTTTAGATCTATCCACTAATTCAAATCATATGATTTCCCTATAATTGATGGTTAAGATGCAGAGTAAGTTTAAAAAATTATTCTTAGAGTTAATGGATCTCCAACCATTATTTTTAATATTATTAACATTATATATCATATTTATAATTTGTTTTTTATGTATATGATTATTCAAAGAGATATTGTTAATCATTTCAGTGATGAAGATGAGATTGAATTATATGTTAATGATAAGAAGATGATAACACTAAAATTAAATAAAAAAGTCAAAGTACACTACAAATATAAATTTTCCTCTTTATATCGGACACAAATTAAATGAAATTTCACACACAAATATTAAATTTGATATGATTTTTGTTAGATAAATGTGTCTGATGGGTTTGAATTTCAAGGAAAAGTAAATGACTGAATTATCTATTCCTCCACGTATATACCAGGTGTTAATTAATATGTAAAATTGACACCAAACAAGTACTGTATAAGTAGTTAAGAATAACAGGATTAACAAACCTTTGTTATCTATCATAAATGATAAAATGAGGGACTTGGATGTTTTTTCACCAATCTCTGGAACCTTTTATTGGCGGAGGGAGTGGAAATGACGTTTTTCTCCTTTAATATCTCATGTTATGTTGGGATATAAACAAATTATCTGGAAATGAGAATACGAAAATAAGAGAGAGATGGAAAAAGAAAAATATTGCCAGAGAGTTTGAAATATTCCTATAAAAATTATTTATGTGTTTAAATTATTATTGAATCTTCACTAACACTATTACAATAGTTTACATTTTTGTTTTAACAAAAATAGTATTGAGTTTTTTATAATATTATTCTATCATCAGGAAGTGTGGAAACAGGTCAGACCGCCTATCATGGGCCTAGTCCTTAGCCTATAACAGGCCAGACTAAGCCAGACCTTTTCAGTAAACAGTTAGGCTTCTCCAATAACCTATTTAACCTAAACATGTCAGACTCAAGCCTTTTAAAAGACATATTAAGCCTAACATGCCCGCATATGTAATAATATTATATATTTATAACTTATTTTTTTATAATATGTAAAAAAATATAATTTTTATGTAAAACTACTAGGACTTAGAGATTAAGCTATTTAATAATCGTATATTTAATTGTTGAGACTTGATCTTAAGTACATAATCTAACTCATCTTAAATATTAGAACAATATCATATTTTACTATGATATTAAAAGACATTGTTTTGTATATTATAATATCAAAGACACCACAAATCCTTCGAATACATTACGTAACATTGGAAGATGATAAAAATAATTGTGATAACAATGTAAAAAAAATCACACTAATTGCTATAATTATAATAAATTTTTATAGTTTATACATAATTTTTTTCCTTTAGCAGGTCTTTAAACAGACTAACTGGTCAGACCAGATTTTTTAAACATATCATACCTAGGCTTTGAATTTTTTTTTAAACAGGTTAGGTCAGACCAGACTTTTAAACATGTCAGACCTAGACTTTGAATTTGTTTTTAAAAGGTTAGGTCAGACTTTGGCTTCTATGTGCTATATAGGTTCGACCTGTTTAAGACAAAGTCTGGCGTAACCTGATTTATTTCCACCCCTAATCATCAGTGATTTATATATTTAATTATTATTAATTTTTAAACAAAAAATAATATACATCTATAATGAAGGATAGATTGATATTTCAATACTAAAAGTACGTAGAATCTATCAGGTATTGCTATTTACATTGACAACCATATTATATGCTAACATTATTCCGTCATAAAATGGTCCCATGGTCTAGTGGTCAGGACATTGGACTCTGAATCCAGTAACCCGAGTTCAAGTCTCGGTGGGACCTGTATTCTTTTTTCTTATCCATTGGATTTTGGTGAGAGAATGGCAAAATAAATAGTGTGTAATATATCAAATGGTCACATTCACTTTCCCCAAATGTTATTAAAACCGTACCGGTTAGGGTACTGGTCTAGTGGTTCAGTAATTAAACCGCATGCCGGTTAAACCGGACATACTTGCTTATATATATATGTAAACCTATAACAAAAAATTTCAAATAAGTAGATATTCATATTTATAATTCATATTCATAATTTACTTCAAATTCACACAAACAAACAACATTAAGTCTTTAATAAAATCAAAGTCTAAAGTACAAAACATATATTTATCCAAAATTATCACTTAACAAACGCAAAATACAAATAAATGATCCAAGTATTAATCATTGAAGTTGAAGAATTGGTGAAGAATTGAAAATTTGAAATTTAAAAAAAATAATAATAACAATGTACAAACCAACCGGTTTACCGGTTTTCACCGGTTTTGACCGGTTTTGACTGGTTTTGACCGGTTCTATTGCATATGCGGTATAACATACGTACCGTACCGGTTAGGGGTCCGGTTCACTGGTTTTCCGGTTGAACCGGCCGGTACGGCACGGTTTTCAAAACTATGCTTTCCCCCATTAAATTTAAATATCTACAGCAAGGTCAATTAAGTTCCAAAATAAAATAATATTTATTTTTTCTGTATGTAACTAGCATTAGTTCAGTATGATTTCTGAAATTTGAATCAAATCTAAACCGATATGTTTTTTAAAAACCAATCCAATATAGTCCACACGATTTCATTTTTTTTTTTAGTTTTTTGGACCAATTTTCAATTTTTGATTTTGGATCCATCTATATCTCAATATCCCAACTTATAATAATGAATTTTAGGACGTGTGGATAGAAGAAGTTGAACAATTAAAGCAGAAGACCAACTTTCTAAACTCTAGACCAAATGTCCAATCCAATGGCCACCTCACCGTCCAAGTTACTTCGTAGAATTTACTAGAAATTATGAAACCATACCGAAATGTAGAATATATTACCAATTTATTGGCAACTCCATCTAAAAAAATGGTTATCTAGTTATTTATATAATGGTATAGTCCTCTTTGTAGATAACAGGTCTAAAATTCTATTGGTAACTTGTAAGCGCTACAAAAACTCATTGTGCTCTTCATTGGAACAAAATGAATAAACTTCATATTTTCAATTTTAAGAGTTATTACCTTTACTAAGTCACTTTTTTTGTGTTCACAAGTCAACACAGTTGCCCCAAGCCAACTTCCAGATAAAATGCCCCTTAAGTTAATAGTAAAAGCATAGCAGAAGCTAATATGATCTACAAACCCTGTAATCCACACTCCAGAGTTATTACAAACCCAATAAATATTTTTAAAATTTGAGTTAGTGGTCTTCATCCATAATTTCTAGGTTTGAGATTAAAAAATAGAAAATTAGGTAGTCATATTAACTCATCATAACTTAGAATTAGGTATACTCAACGCGTTAAAAGAAATATAAACTACTTAGAAGTTGTGTAGAATTTATGAGCCACACATTAAAGAATAATACATATTAAAAGATGGGGAGGTAGATTTATATATTTTGATATTAAATTAGTTTTTAAACAAAGATAATTATTTGATAGTAATATATAATTATAACAATCTATGCACGACTAAATTTACTTGACTATCTTAAAATATAATATAATAAATTATAGTGATAATATTACTTCCAGAAACTTGATATTTAAAAATAATTCAAAAATATAGAAATGTCAGATGAAAATACGATGAGGATATATGAAAATAACAGGATTGTAATATTTGATAATTATTATGTTGATTTATTATTATTTTAATAATGTTCTCTGTGTGAACATTAATTTTTTCCAATTTAAATGCATAAATAGAAATATTAAAAATGCTGAAATAACAATTAAAAAGGTAAATTCTTTAAAATAGATGCTATATAAGCGAAAAGTAATAATTGGGTAAAAAAAGGTGAGGGGTAAATATGTAGTTTCAGGATCAGATATTTTATTAGAAAATCGGAAGATATTTTGTAGGTATAAGCAGAAGATATTTTTGAGGCAGTAAATGAATTATGCGCCGCAACAGATATTGTATGACTCTTATCGTAACCCTAGTTTACCATTCCCCACTATATAACAACCCCTTCCTTCGAATGTTTTTTCACGTTCTCTCTTCTTACTTCATTTCTTCATCTGTTTAGAAATATTTCAATGGCTTCCGGTGATGCTGAGTACCGTGCTTTCGTTGGTGGACTTGCATGGGCCACTGATAGTGAATCCCTCGAGAAGGCTTTCTCTCCCTACGGTGAAATTCTTGATGCTAAGGTCCGTTTGTTGCTGCAGCAGGCTTCGGATCTCACACGATTACGATCTGGATTTCTTGTTATCCTATTCTGATCTGTGACTTTTCTCCGATCTGTTTGCGTTACTTGTTACTGTTCTTCATTCTTGTTACTGTTCTTGATACTTGATTCTTTTATTACTCACTCCTAATCGGTACGTTCCTTCTTCATCCTTATTCATAAGGCGAAGATCGATCGGTTACTATTCGGTTTTATTGTTTTTTTCATTCAATTTTTGTCCAAGATCTGATTCCTTTGTTTAATTTTGTGTTCAGATTATCAACGATCGTGAAACTGGAAGATCTAGGGGTTTCGGATTTGTTACCTTTGCAAGCGAGCAGTCATTGAAGGACGCTATTGAGGCTTTGAATGGACAAGATCTTGATGGCCGTAACATTACAGTCAACGAGGCTCAGGCTCGTGGTTCAGGTGGTGGTGGTGGTGGCGGCCGCGGTGGTGGCGGTTACGGAGGTGGTGGTTATGGTGGAGGCCGCCGTGAAGGTGGTGGTGGTGGTTATGGTGGCGGCGGTTACGGTGGCGGTCGCCGCGAAGGTGGTGGTGGTGGATACAACAGAAACGGAGGCGGTGGAGGATATGGAGGCGGTGGTTATGGTGGTGGAAGAGATAGTGGCTACGGAGGTGAACGCTACAACAGAGGTGGTGGTGAATCAGATGGTGGCTGGAGGAATTAAGCTCCTAACTTGTTTGGGTTGTTTAGTTCGTGATTACAGTATCATGTTGTTTTGAACTTGTATTTGCTTAAAGTAATTGTTTCTTATCATTTTATAGCATCGTTGAATTAAATTAATAGAAAATATTGATTCCCAGTTTTCATTATACTCTTTTAACTCAGATAACATCAGTTATTGCCCATGTTTAATCTGAACGACATTTTAATACTTATAATCTCGAATGGGAAAGAAGTAATAGTTTGTCAATGTATTGACAAGATCGAGGTGGACAAGCATCATTTAGAGAGATTTAAAAAGATTACAGGAATAATTTCAATACTGGCCCAAAGGCTATTATGAAGAAACACATTATTCATCAATTTGCCTTCGTGTTCATTGTGACATAGGAAACTACTTACTCCATATTGAAGACCAATTTTTTTGGTTTGAGGATTGATGATATTAATTCTTTAATGTTGGTGATATTCCTGTATTCAAAAGAATAAGGTAAAATTTATAGCTGGAACCATTTATATCTTGAATTGTCATGAAATATACTAATCATAATCTTCCAAGTTGTGAGATAATCAATGACACATAACTTGCTGTCACTCGTATATTGGTTGGGGCTTTGGCAGCCCAATAATTATGTAACATTTTATAACAGCCTTTTTCCTAAATTAAAATTCTATAGGTTCTTTTTAATAGAGCTCGTGCTGTTTGGTAGATCGTAGCAATTCAGGTATGGACATATACATCAGATTTTTTTATTAAAAAGATTTCTTTTTAGTTTTTATAACTGTAATTAAAAACACAACATATCTTGTGCATGCATTACTACATAAAATGATGCAAGATGATCTAGTGAAAGATTAGGTGAGAGAGGAGAGGTTTTGAAATAAAATTGAAGATATTTTTTGTGATTTTGAAGGAAAAAAAGAATTCAAAGCATATGGGGTTGAATCTGGACTCTCTCCATCTTTGCCCTGAATCTGAGACATGTCCTCCCTCCCAAACCAATGTAAAAAATGGGCCTTTTTACATTTTACATTTTACATTTTATTTTTGTCCCTCCAGTTGAGTTTGATGTCTGGGGATTATCTCAAATTATTTGGTCGTTGATTGTATAATCTCCATTTCTAGTAGGCAGTTTGTTGAAATGGCCTCCAGATAATATGATATTATGAGTCATCCCTATCTAAATCTTGTGCAATATGAGAGAGCAGTCTAGACTTTAGGCATTTGGGTGGTAGTCAATAGTGTTATAATATATATGATATTCTAGTTTCTTCCATTCACCAATGTACTCCTCAAAATATTGATTATTCAAATAAATGTTTTCTTCATTTAAGTCAAGCTCTTTTATGTTCAATTATTATTTCTATTACCCACTAGAACCAACATATTTAATAAATGAATAATCATATAGTTTCTAGCAGGTTAATTAGTTTTTAATACAAACAGTATTACGGGGTAGAATAGAAGATATAGAAAGTGTTTGCTTAACAATTATTGTTAACACCACTGTAGCTCATGGTGAGTCTATCCCATCAGAGACAGAGAGTAACTGATGTTGACAACGAGTTCAGTAAATTGGAATACTAGCCAAGTGGAACATGTCAAAGTACAAATCTTAGTTAAGATTTTATTTTGATGTACAGTGGAAACCAGAAAGGCCGTATGGGATACACAGTTTTCAATGACTTTATTATTTCATGCTCCTAAAATTCCATAAAGCCTTCTCACTATCATTTCAAAATTAGCATATAATATTGAGAATATTTGGTGTAATTCTAGTTCCCCCACCACTACTAGTCCTTAAATGTAATATTAAATACAGTAGAAATCACCAGATTTGGAATTGCACCTCACACACTTATTATTTTGTGTGTGATTGTAGAGGATCCTAATCCATCTATATTCATGTTATAGTAATGAAATACAAACCATCCTTTACAGCT